AAAAAAAAAAAAAAAAAAAAAAAAAACTGAACCAAAATAAAACCATTTTTAAGACTTGTCTACTCGCCAGATCTGACTACTCGCTTGTGTAAGTTGGAGTTGTAAAGTTTGGGACATTTTTCTCTAGCTCTCATTTGGTTTATTAATCGTGGGGATTGGCTCATTGCGAGTTTTGTCTCGGGTGTTGAGCAGAGTGGTCGTTCGAGCGCTCTTGATAAGCAATGGGGGTAGTAATCTATTTCTAGTGTAGGTGTGTGTTGTAGCTTTCTTTTATCTTATTTAAGTGTTGTGTTAGTCTCCACTTGCGGGAGTTAGCTAGCCTCCACTTGCTTATTTTATTTATATAAAACTCTCTCTTATTCACCGAATTGCACGATTTACAACCGGTAGGTATAATTTGATTTTAAATGTTTTTATATGTTAATTAGATTTTACTGTAATTCTTTTAATAGTAAGTCAACTATTTAATTACAATGTCAAATTTACTATTTTAGATTACCCTATTTCAATATAGATATAGATATATAGATATAGATGTGACTTTTTTAATTTAAGCAACACCTTTTGGTATGAAAGAAATAGGACAAATAGGAGACGAACCCGGTCCAATTGGCTATAAAGTGGGCCTTCTATTAATGGGTCCTATATTAGACCGAGCGGAGAAAAAGTGTAATTTTATCTTGGTCTTCTCTGTTTGCAGTGTGGGCCTTCATTTAATGGGCCTATTTTGCAAGAAACAAAATTTGACAGAACAAAGCTGTCATTATAGCCATGATAACTATAACTATGTTTATCAAATATAAAAATTATGGATTCCTTAGACCTATAAATTCTTTCTTTCTTTTTTTATTTGTGTACTTGAGATGATTTTTATTCAACATAAACATAATAGTTTTTACTGTTCATAAATATTTGATTCGTGATTTATTTTTTTATTGGTTTCAAAATTACATGTTTTTTTAGTTTATGACTCATTTTATAAAGGCCATATTTATGATTTTATTTTTAATGACTCAAATTAGATAAAAAAAAAAAAAAAAAAAAACTTAAAAGTGTTGTAAATTTTTATAGGTACCTTTATTGCGCTTGACAATTTTGAATAACAAGATCGAACACTAATATAAGTAGGAAATATTTATTCAATTGGAATTTCTAAGAACTTTTAAAGACCTTACAAATTATAGTGTATTTAATTTAGATTTTTTAGAAATTTTAAAATTCTTGAGATATTCATTTGATACTAGTATAGAGCCCGTGCGATGCACGGTGTGCACAATTTTAATGTCATTTATCAAGTCTTATAATTATATAAATGAATAAAAAAATGTACGGGATATATATAGTACGTGACCTGTAATAGGCCAAAATGTGAACACGGGTGATGCACGAGGTGCACAATTTTAAGGT